CCCATATACAGACTATCAGCAGAATACAGCAAGAAGCCAGAGAAATTGATTGAGGAGCCTCAAGGAAAGGGAGAGAACCTCTTCGCCTTAACCAGATCACTACAGCTGAGGACTAGCTCCTCCCTCCCTCTTTCTGAACATTGCTGAGTAAGAAGGGTCAAGCATTTTGCTGGAAACCGGGTCCAGCGTCCCCTGAGACACAGTCAAAGCTCTAGGCTAGGGCCCCTCAGGGCCCAGTGGGGGGCACCAGTGGTCCCTGATCGTTCCCCAGCTCGTAATCTACGCAAAAATACCTCTGTCATCTGACTCATGTGAGTGTTTCCTCCAGGGCGAGGGGGTGGGGTGGGAAAGGGTCCGGGAAATCAGATGGGTGTCTCATTGGAAAAGTAGGGTGGATGTTAGTCCAGTCTTTGAAGACGAGTTTGTAATCTCTCACAATCCCTTGTCTGTTCGTTTCTGCTCTGTCCCCCGACCACTCAACCTGAGCCATCCATCCCCCTCTTTGCCCGCCCAGCCATTCCACGCAAAACCCAGTAATCCCTCTCTTTATATCCTGCTCTGTTTGAAAGAGGTCAAGCTGAGGTTTGAGATTACTCCATCTTCGTGTCAGGTCCAGCTGGATTAGTTCCTTTATCTGCTCAGTCAATTCATTTTCGTCAATCCTCACCCCCTCCATAACGAAGATGCATTGTTGCCACCAAGGGGCCCGTAGGACCGATCGTCTCCCCAGGTTATATAAGTTGCTAATGTAGGGGGTGGCTTCGTCCATTCTCAGGCAGTGCCCGGTCAGTATGGCTTGCCATGACCATGGCCAGAGGACATTAGTTGCCTTCCTCCAAACCCGGTCCCACCATCGCCATGTCAAGACTGCCACCGGGCATTGCATAAAATTGTGTTCAATGGTCTCATTTCTTTTCCTCTCCGGAAATGCAGACAAACACCGGTGGCACCATGGGAGTGTTTTTCCCTTATGTTCCAGCTGTGTGTGATCAATCAACCACGCATTTGTCCGCACACATCGGTGTGCAGTCTGCCACTGGAGTGTTGTAATCTTTACTGGCCTGGACTTAGTTTCCTTAAACCATTTTATGAGAGTAAGGGTGGATCGGTCAACGTTCAGATGCTGAGCCCACCTATCAATTAAGCGATCCTTTAAAATTCGCTATAGTCTGAGCATTTTATACATGGATTTAACAGATATTGTATTTAGGCGGATTTTTTTCTTTGTTGTTGGCCCCGTTCTCGAACCCGTCTGCCATTGTCATTCATCGGGATCGATGGCGAGCTCGTGTATCGATGTTTGAGGGAGGAAGGCCTTTAAGTCCTGTTCCTCCTGTAGTACCCGTATCCGAAACATCTCCTCCTTCTCTCGCCACTCAAAAGGGTTTCGAGAACCACCCTGCACTCCCCGAGGTCCAATAGCATAAAATTCCACCAGGGCCTCGGTAAGGCGCGTCTGATGTATTCGGCCTGCCCGTGTTTCATCCCCTGGAAAGCTACCCAATCCCCCTTTTTTAAGATGGGGCCTTTTTTAAGGGTCCTATACCAGGCAAGCGGAATTGCCTCAATAATAGTCTCCAGCTGCTGCTCGGTGTGATGGCAGTAGCTGAGAATGCTCCGCACCTGGGGCACTGTTTTCCAATTTTTTCTCTCGTGGCCCCATAGATGGCCAACCCTGAGAATACCATTCTTCACCAACCCCTTCCATGGGGCTTCTGAGCTGATCAGAACCCAGCCATTTCTGGGTGTGATCCACCGGTTGCCAAACAGAGGTTGTCGGTATATCTCCTCCCAGCGCACCGGTGCCTGTTTCTCCGGGAGGGGAAGTCTGCGCCAACTTTTTAGCAAGGAAGGCCAGAACTGGTCGAACCTTTGACCCTGAATTCTTCGTGGGATCGACCAGTAACGATCCTCTATCCACGTTAACGGGTTGACCTCCGGTGGGGCTGGAGGGGCCAGGCGAGCAATGTGGTCCAGGGCCAGGGTCTGCCACGGACTGTCCAGAGCAAAGATCAGGGTTTTCAGCATTTTGAGGCGGAGGGCCTGGACTTGCGTTGCGGGATCAATAATGCCCAGTCCCCCCATTGTCTTGGGTTGGATAACCGAATCCCATGCTACCCTATTGATAACATTGGCTCGTTCATCATCCCCTCTCCATAAAAAGGCTGCCACCCTTGATTTCAGCGCTGTAACGACGGTTTTACTCAATGGCCACAGTATCGACTTATACCAAAGAGCGGTGAATACTACATTATTAATAACCAGTGCACGACAAAAAATGGAGGTGTGTTTATTTCTCCAGTTCGCCAGTTTTGCTATGGCCGGTGCCGAGATCCAGTCATCATTTAAAGGAGGGCGACCCTGGGCCATCATCTGTACTCCCAAGACCCGAATGGGAGCCTGTTGGGGAAGCCAATGAATATTTGGGGATTCCGGTGGTCGACCACCTTGGTAATGAATCCACCACCCCTGGGTTTTGCTTCCCCAATTCACTACCATGTCCGATACCTGGGCGAACTCATCCATTAGTCGACGAATTTCCTCCATATTCTCGTGTGTCGCCTCAGTAATAATGGTCAGGTCATCTGCAAACAGCGAGCAAATTGGGACTGCTTCCTCCGGGACTCGTGCAACCTGAAGCTTTTTTATATCTTTGTTAGCCCGCAGGTTGGCCGATAAGGCTTAAATGACCATTAGGAAGAGGAAGGGTGCAATCGGGTGCCCTTGACGTACGGAGCGTTCTAAGTTAATTGGAGGTGTCAGGGTCCCGTTTATCTGCACCCTTGTGGTTGCATTTTGATGGAGGATGCGGATCCATCTACGAAAAATCGGCCCAAAGTTTATTTTTTTCAAGCACTTGTCAAGGAAGAGTCAATCCACATGATCGTACGCCTTTTCAAAATCGATGAAAATCAAGGCCACGTTTTGTTTTGAGTGACGGGACAACTGCAACACTTCATTTATTAGTAAGATGTGTTCTTGGATTTGCCTGTGCTGCATAAATCCTGTCTGTGCTGGACGAATCACCGTTTTCATGACTCGGATCAGCCTATTCGCCAAAGCTTTTGCCAGCATTTTGTATACTACAGCCAAAAGGGTGATTGGTCTGTAATTCCGAATATTAAACATATCCCATTTTTTATATAATAGTGATAGCACCCCTTGGCCAACTAACTCCCCCATGTCCCCTGTGCGCCCTACCTCGCTGTAGAAGTCCATGAGATCCGAGCACATGCAGTCCCACATTCCTTCCCAAAATTCCTTAGGCAGGCCATCCAGACTCGGGGTTTTCTCCTCTTCCATCTGAAGGAGGGCTGTCCAGACCTCCTCCTTATTCAAGGGAGTTTCCAGTTGCTCCCTTTGCTGAAGAGAAAGGGACCTGTCCATCGGCAGGAAAAAATCTGCAATCTGTTGCTGCCTATACTTCTCATTGGAAGGGGGGATATGAGTGGCAAAAAGATCTTTGAAAAAATCGCGGCCTAGTTTTAAGCATCCTGCCGTTGTGGTGACTGGGTGTGTGTCAGGGCCCCCGGGGCTATACAGAGCTTCTATAGTCGCACGCTTGGCCCTAGCCCGGGCCATGCCAAAGAATTTAGTGTCCATTTGACCCTCTGCGATCCACGGATTCGAGCCCCTTGCCATCGGTATTCTGCTTGTTGGAGAAGTTGGATTTTGAGCGTTTGTATGCTCTACACATATTGGGCTGTATCTTGTGTTGTTGGGTGTTGCTCCAACTCTTGAAGTTGATTTAACAGGTCAATTTCGTACTTGTTTCGTTTCTTGGCTATTTGTTTGGAGAATTCATTACATTTTCATTTGTCGTGGTGTACCCGCACTCTACTATTCGGGGATACAGCTCGAGATAATGTTACATGGTCCCCCTTTATGTCTAACCTCTTCTCCTACACCAGATTGACAAGCTTGATGCAAACCTGGAAAATGAGGTGTTCATATCAAAGGAACCAGCACACGTTTGGATTCATGCAGGCACGAATAGCAATAATCGACACAATCATGGCAAAGACACAGCAAGCTCACAAGGAGCTACGGGAGATGCTAAAAGATGAGCAAGACTCAATTAAAAAACAGGAACTTGTTGTCAACTTTGCTACCATATAGACGGACAAACGGAACAGGTTATGCAGTATGGATAGCTAGGCTCACCTGCAATGGCAACCCTGGCCTACAAAAGAGCGGCAGTGGGAGCGCTTGACGCAGTCTCACTTCACAGTGGATTACAAATTGACCAACTTCGTGTTGGTGACGTAACAGAACCTCCCCTACCACCTGGCCTGGTCAAACCCTTTCCTATGACTCACCCTTCCCCTGATCTACACCCCTATCTTGCCCCCTATATCCATCCTCCTCCACAATCCCCCCCTCCCCCCCTCTCCCCTCCTGTCTACCATTCTCATCTGTCTATTGTCGGTCAAGGATGGGTCTACATCTCAGCTACATCATTTGGAATCCGACACCAGCCCCCCAAGGGGGCCTTCAAGAATATTGAATAAATATGGATTGGATTGTCTACCGCGTAGGCGCGGGGAACGCAGCCCTAAGGTAGCCAAACAATGAGACTAAGCGCTAACGCAAGAGAGAGAGAGAGAGAGAGAGAGAGAGAGAGAGAGAGAGAGAGAGAGAGAGAGAGAGAGAGAGAGAGAGA